AAGTATTTATAATAAATGAACATGAATATGTTTTTTTTTTAAAGAAAATTGCAATAAAAAATGAATTTAGAGAAGAAAAACCAGTTTCAAATTAGCCCCTCTTTGGGTTCCATTAAAAATAGATTTAAAAAAAATGTATTTGAGAATAATGAATTTTTGGAGAATTTGTAGTTAAAAAATAAGAAATTTTTTCGAATTTATGTGTAATATTATTTTATTAAAAAATGAGTGATGAAAAAAATAAAAAAGGAGAAAACTGTATTTGTTTTGTTTTATTTTATTTTTTATAAAACGGAGTCCAAACAAGGCTTAACAAGGATAAAGTCAAAGATTTTTCCTATTGATGTGACAAACATCTTGCTATAAATGGATTTCTGAATGACCTTTATCATTGTTTTTCAGTCAATAATATAAAACACCGTATATATTCCTAGACTAATAATAAATTTTAAATTGATAATAAGATTTTTTTCTCTCTCTCTCTCTCTCTCTCTCTCTCTCTCTCTCTTTCACTTTGTTTTTTTTTTTTTTTTTTTTTTTTTTTTTTTTTTTTTCTCTTTTTCCCCTTTTTACTATGTACCCTTCCTTGTCCAAAAAAAAAAAAAAAAATAAGGTTAAATCCTAACCTTAAGGGTCCCCCACCACCCCTGCCCTGGAGTATCGTGAGGGAGGTAAATCGCAAGTTATGCCTCCAAGGGTACAGGATGGAAGACTACTTGTACACTTGCACTTATTCAAGAGCCAAATTCATATTTCAGGATTCGAACCCTTGACGCAGCAACCTCAAGCAAAACTGAATTTCTCCACCCTTCCTTGTCCAACTTATATAAAAGTATGTTAAAGCCAAAAAATACATCAAAAATAACACACAAAAGAATATATTTTTCATGACTATTTTATCCCTCGAAAATAATCTCGATTGTCAACTTAAACAGTAAAATTATACATTAATTTCATATTCAATACGATAGAAAGATCACGCCCAAAAAAGAAGACGTTCGAATGCAACGAATAGTCCATAAATAGAAAATCCATTTACTTCGTACCTCCTAGTTGTTGTGACACAATTGGGATGTAATTATTTCTCATTATAAAAATTATAGTGGGATCCAAAGTACAAAGTCAAGTTTTATTGAGAATGTCTGAAACATTATGATTAATATAGGAAATGGGCTTCTTCAACTATAATGTTGATGCACTCAATTAGTTGATGTAAGACTCGGAAAAGTTTTGGATCCAAGATTTGGATTTTCAGTGTATAAAATAAAATATGTTAAAAGGTACACTTTTTGGAGGCCTATATCGTAAATTTTGATTTCCGATTGATCTTAAAGTTCATGTCGTTATGTACTGTTTAAATTACATGTATTTAAACAGACAAATATAATATATTTTAGGTTGAAAAATTAAATTAATCAAACATGTTTTATTGACAATTTCTATGCAAATAAGTTATAGGCAATTGAATTACTTAGAATTTATTTTCTTTCCATACAAATTTCATGCTTGCAATCAAACGCACCCTTAGAGTCATGTATTAGACCATCTTAATATTTTTTTCTCTATATAAGATATATTATGAAAAGTTCTTTCTTTGTAACCTAGAGAAGAAAGAGAGATGTGAGGTTCAAATTACATTGTAATATTCTTGCCTCTTGTTATAAGAAAGTCGCAACTACAGGTAGAAGTGGCTCTTGAGAGTAAACAGAAATAAATCTCATGTTCTTTACCTTTATGCATCTCCAGTTTCTTGTTATTGATCTCCATCGTATATAGTGTCGTCTATATGGGTAATCATATTGCCACAACAAATTTTGTTTGAATCACCCCATTTTTTTTATTTACTAAAATAACCCAAACTAAAATAATACAAATAACGATCAACACCCATGCGTTATTCTCTCTTTCATCTATCTTTATGTACACCAAAAATACAAACCCTAACCTGTACAGTTAAATTCAAATTGAAATTAACTCTCACTGGCTTTTTCTTTCTCCTTATGGCTTTACTAGTGATTGAATGCATCTTTAGATTTTGGGATTTTAACTGGGGTTTTGGATGTTTCGTAGCAATGGTTGTTGGAATTTGATCTTCAAAATTTGGTGATGAGTTTGTTGGCACATGGCATATTTGATTTTTCAATTTCGTTATAATCCATTTTTTTAACTTCATCATCTCTATTTAAGTTTGGGTGCAACTGTGTTAAGAGAATAAATCCCACATAAATTAAATATCCAAATATTGACCAACTTAAATAGATCTTGGACCACTTTCCTCTTAATAAGGTTGACCTTAACATGGTATCAGAACCACCCCGTGGATTTCAAGATTGGTCTACTCAAATGAGTCATTATCTTGAGGGGGCCTATTAAGGGATGTGTTATTCCACATCAGTTTAATACCGAAATAAATATCAATTTATAAAGATTTTGGACTTCTCTACTTAAAAGGTTGACCATATTAAAATGGACCCCAAATCTTAACATGGTATCAGAGTCCAGTAAACTCCAATGAGCTATTTGATCTGATTAAGTCTAAAAAAGGAGCACACGAATTTCAGGATTGGTCTGCTCAAAAAGAGCCACCATCTTGGAGGGGCATGTTAAGGGAATAAATCTCACATTAGTTAAATACAGAAATATTGACCAACTTAAATAGATTTTGGGCCACTCTCCTCTTAATAAGGTTGACCTTATTAAGATGGACCACAAATCTTAACTTAGTATCAGAGCCACCCCGTGGATTTCAAGATTGGTTTGCTCAAATGAGTCACCATCTTGAGGGGGCCTATTAAGGGATGTATTATCCCACATCGGTTTAATACCGAAATAAATATCAATTTATAAAGATCTTGGACTTCTCCACTTAAAAGGTTGACTTTATTAAAATGGACCCCAAATTTTAACAAGCTGCTCAATTTTTTCTAATTTATAGTTTCATCTGATCAATTTATGATTTTTTCAAGTATATAGGGAAGACCCGATGCATGCATAGTTACGATTAACAATTATTTTTTGTAATAATTGTTGTTGTTGCTTTCTTTTTTTTCTTTTTTTTCTTTTTTTGTGTATAATGTAGTATTAGATGAAATAATGGAGAAAATGCTAAAGATCGTTGATAAATTTTGTGTAGTACTTTTATTTGTGTTTTCGCCATTGTTCATAAGAAGAGAATTTTTCTCATATTTTTCGTGGATGTTCAACCCTCTTTTTGCGTCTGTAAAAGAAATTAAAGAACAGTTCATGAAAACTTTATTAATATACTTAACAATATTTTTAAAAGATATACATAGTGAAGTTAAAGAATCAAGATGTGTATCAATGAAAGAAGAGGTGTAATATTGAGATGATGAGTACACCACAATAGTCATATTTCTTTTTTAAACTTTTAGTTTTGATTGGATTAGTAGTATAATTGTAAATTTGTTGTGGTGTATTTATTAAAAATATATTTTAACTATGGTGTTATTATAATGTCATGTAGTCATTATATTTTGTGGTGGTAATATAATTATCCATAAAATATAACGATGGACAAAAAGTTTTGGACTAATTACGTTTATACCAATATTTTTATTTGTTACATCAAATTTTAATTATTTTTAAGTGGAAAAACCCAGTTGAATAGGCTCAAAGACGAGAGCTGGTTCCAGGGGCTGAAACGTCAAGCCCTGATTGGCGTTGTTTTTTTTTTTTTCTTTTAATTATTATTTTTTTTATTTTTAGCTTCCAATGAGAATTCGTTAAATTTTTTTCTATTTAAAAACCTGTCATTGAATTTGTTCTCGTAATGAGACTATTTTGAAGTTCCTTAAACTTACTCATTAATATAACAATTATGTTCTTAATTTTTTCTGTTAACTTTTATATATCTATCAACTTTTATTAATTAACATATATAATCCTTAAAGATAGGCATTTGTCAAAATGTTTTGTTCCGGTGCTTTGAAATGAAGAAAAAAATATGTTGTAGATTTTTGTATTTATTATTATTATTTAAGAAAAATAATGGGCAAATGAGTCGTCATACATCCTCCCAAACGATTTTTTGGACTGAAAATCGATATTAGAGACGAAATATGATAAGTAGTGAAATGTTGAAAATAAGAATGCGCAAAATAAGCTAGGGACATGAATGAGAAAAGGTCAGGACTTTAACTATTATTAAATAAAGTGTAAGTAATAAAAAAATGGGACGTTAATATATAATTTTGCAATGTTCTATTTTTTTTTTATTTTTTTTTTCAATTTTATGAATAGGATAACAACGAAGTATCTACTTTGTTGGGGGTAGTTTTATTATTGGATCTTTTTTTCCAACTATTTATCTAATATTTCACTCGAAAGGATGTAAAGTGCTGTCTTAAACATAAGAAGATCAACATGGATTAAATTCAATCTTATCCAAACAAAACTTTTCCATTTTCTAATTATATATTTAATAACATCGTGCAATTTAAATATTTCTTTAAGTGTTTATTTTACCAAGATAATTCACTAGTAAAACATATCCTCAAAGAATAACGAGATGAAAGTTAACTTACAAAGCGAGGTATAAGTGAAACGAAATAATCAAACGATATATAAGTTATAACGTTGAGTTTCAACTCAACTCCATTCTTTACCGCAATATTCAAATTTCTATTACTAATATAATATCAATCAAGTTTAAACTTATTTTTTTATGATCGACAAATGTTAAGGCATTTTTAAATTAAAAGTATTGAAGTATACTTGACATTATTTTAATAAATTTTCTAATCATCAAATTATGACAAAAGTGTCTTTTTCAACATGCATATAAGTCAGGTTTGCTTACAAACAAATAATTTTAAAATGAATATTTTTTTTGGCTGAAAATAGTTGCTTATTTGAAAACAATATCTATCTAACTTTTAAATAAATAATTTAGTTTAATAAAGTATGAATAAAAAATTAACTTAAAAGTAAAAAAATAACTTACTTTTAGGCTGAATGGAAGAGGTTGTATTATCATTCACAAATTTCTCTCCCACTGAGAACGACGGCGAAGGAGAGCAACCTGTGGTCTACCTGTATTTATCTGTATCTATCGTTGACACGGTACAAATAAATATTATATGTAAATGAGATGTGCACAAACTGGCAGCCATAACTCTTTTTCTTCTTCTTCTTCCTTAAAGCTCTCTCTCTCCAAATTCTACACTTTATCTCTCTTTAAATCTTTGCCCTTTTGAGTGACTGATTTTTCTTGATTTGGTTTCATCAAATCCAAGCTTTGTCGACAATGGAGACTGTGTGTTGTATGTGCGGCGATGTTGGCTTCTCCGACAAACTCTTCCGCTGCAGCAAGTGTCGCCACCGCTTCCAACACCTGTATGCACCCCCCCAACCCCACCGCCCCATCATCAAGCACCTCTTTTATGTGTGTGTGTGTTGATTTTTCTGCATCTATTTGATGATCATGATAATTTGCACATACCCAGGATTCAGTTTCATTTTTTGTGTTGATCACAAACTCTAAATGCATACCTTTGATTGTACAATTAATATAAAATCTCCACGTTTATAATTATTTGTAACTCTATAAACACGATCTTTTCGGTTGTAATTTTCAGACCAAAAAGCTGTAGAAATTCTATTATTGCTCCAGAACATCCTAGGTTAATTGTCTAGCTCAACAACACCATCATTGGGAATTCATCATTCATGCCGTATGTCTTTTTCTTTTTTAACTACAAATATGGTGTCATATCATGGAACTATAAGTCTTACAAGGTGGAAACATAAGCCCACATGTTTTTTACCCAAAATTTTCTGAGTTATTTATAATTAATTACTTACGCTTGATTGAAGTTTGAACACTTGAAAATCTCACAGGTATTGCAGCAATTACTACAGTGAATTGTCAGAGCCTATTCAAGTATGTGATTGGTGTCAAAGTGAGGGAAAAAATTCAAAACATGGCGGTTCTTCATCAAGAAAATCCATGCAGGTTAACAATGATTCGACAACAGCTAATTATTCAGGTAACAAAATGAAAAAACATGATCGTGAAGAGGGTTCAGAAAAAGCTGGAAAAAACCCGAGCGGGACGCCTTCTCCCCGGCCTACTACACGGAGGTACAAGCTTCTCAAGGATGTAATGTGCTGAACGAACTAATGATATGAAAAGATCAGCTAGCTGGTTTCAAACTCAAAAGTCCTATTTTTTCTACTAGTAGTTTGATTAAAGTTGTTTTCGAGTGATCGTTGAAGTGTTTGTAGTCCATAGTATACTGTCATCTTAAGTCGTTTTTCATGTGGTATAGTTTTATGGTCTGTGTTTCCTAGTCACAAGTTGTTACCAATAATGAAATTTTTATAAAATAATTGTTCGAATTTGCTAAAGTTATTTTCTAGTGATCTTTGTAATATTTTCTAGAATTCCAAGATATTACTTTTGTAATAGTGTGACTGTATAAAGTTGTACATCAAATTAAGACAAAGATGATCCAAAAGAAAAACCGCATAAATACACGCTAAGCGTCTCCAATCCAAGATACCAAAATTTGTCATACATTTAAGATGGGATGTTCAAAGTTATATATGGTTTCCACATATGGTAGGGTTTTCGTTGTAGGAATTTTGTCATTGTCACAGTAGTGTTCTAGCTGGAAGCCTCCCCCAGCACACAGAAGTGCTTAATTTGTTGCATGTATTGAGGAGAAATCAATGCATTTGAATTCCTCTCTAGCATACAAAATTTTCTAGATTTATCGAGTAACTGTTTGGTTAGGATTAAAATCAGATTTTAATTTAAATCAAAGTCAAAAAAAATAAATATTAATCATATATTTTATGGATCCCATAACTCTTCAACCATGCATTTCAAAATTTTTTATCACAATCTACTAAAAAAATCTAATTTTAATCTCCATCAAACAACCTCTGAAAGTATTTAAGAGACTTCATTTTGATTTTTTTTGTTGCTTAAGCAAACAAAATTAAGCCCTTAATTTAGCAAAAAGGAAATTTATGAATCAAGTATTAATCTCTACCTCGACAAGTTAGAGAGAAACGTTTATGCGTCATAATTAAATATAGTATCAAGCACACAAATGTTCCAATTTATGGCACAGTGTCACCTATTAACGGTAATTTCACTTGTCAATCAACATTTGACACATGATTAAGATGCAAGCATAAATAAAGAAATGCATCTTGTTTGTCAGATTAAACTTTTAGTTAAAATGATTCAATACAAATATCGATCCTCACGATATAATAAAAATGGGCTTATATGCATAATTTTTGGAAAAAAAAAATCAGCATAATATTAATTGATCAAACAAAATATATGTATGTATATATGTATATTCTCGAGAGCGTGGATTAGCAATTCTTTACAGATTAGAGGAGACTAAGGAAGAAGATAGAAAAGAAATGGATCTTGCCGATTCGAAACAAATTGAATGCGTGGGGAAGACCCGCCATAAAACTAGATAAAGAAAGATAGGACACGAGCAATACTGGGGAATTTCCATGTTCTACCTCATTTATCGCCGCATTGCTCAAGAGGCCGAGCTTTATTTAATTAAGAGAGAATGGGAAGTGAGGTCATGAGGTCATCAAGGAAGAAGCGAAGGGACGATATTGATCGGGAAATTGAAAAACAATTGCCTAAAGGGGTCACTTGCTCTAATCCTTTCTATAGAGCTGCCTATAACTTGAGAGATAACAGGAGAGCCTTCTCTCGAATTCGAAGATGTGACAAGATGACGATTGAGTAAAAGCAACCCGGAGGTGAAAATTTAAAAAAGAAAGAAAAATAATTATTTGACTCTCACGTGTACCTGTTTTGAAGACTAAGAAAACTCAGAATAAATAAAAACTTATGGCCCAATATAATTACTTTTCCATGTCTACTCTTTTCTTCGTTTCCAAACTATCATCACAAGCCACATGATTGCTTGGCCATTTACACTCTTCAACCTTTTCTTTTCCAACTTGCATTGTAAGCAACATAAATATCAATTCATTTTATCACAAATTAGTATTTATTAATTCGTCTTTTGTTTTCTAATTAGAAGCTTTAGATAGAGGCCTAAAAATTCCGCCTAAATTTGAATAGTATTTTGTATAAATTATTCAATCACGAGAGACACAATTTTCAATCAAACAATACTTTAGTCGTAGTATTTGTTAATAATAATGTGAAAAAGAAAATACAGAACTTTAAGGTGGGTTCAAAAAGTTTGATCCTTAGCTATGAAAAACGAGGAAAAAAATTAACTAGAATAATTGAAAACAAATATTTGGTAAAAGGACCTAATTAATCTCGTGAGCTCATCATGCTCCTCGTGGTCATGCAGCGTGTAAGATATCTTATGGATTCATAATCACCATCATCCTTGTCCCTTTGACTCATTCTAATTGCTCGTCATATATTTCCATTGGCATACTCTTCCCGAGGAATCTTAGATGAAAGATTTGAGAGAATTGTCAATTCCTAACTACCCACGTCAATTATCTCAATAATGAAGGGTACAGCCCCCAGAGCACATCTTAACTGGCAAAGATGAGGACGCTTCAAAGCTGGTAGATCAAAGGTCGTGAGTTCGATTCCTGGAAGGCTCTTGGAAGACAGATATTCTCCTGAAAGGCAGGAGCTCTACTGAAAGGTAAGGTGCAAAGATGGAAAAACGACTTGTTTGGCACTTTGGTAGATAAGTTGGGGGGCTCTTGAGCACTGATCAATTTGGGGCACAACCTGCGGTTGGATATCAAAAAAAAATAAAATAAAATAATAATAATAATAATAATAATAATAATAATAATAATAATAATAATAATAATAATAATGAAGGGTACAAAATTAATTTGAAAGAACTTTTGAGCTCTTTCTCTATCCCCCTTATAAGTACGTCGTTTGAATCAACATATAACATTTTTTAAAATATGAATAATTCTTATTTCATTAAAATTCCTTCTAAATTCCTCTTGAAAAATATCAAGTCGGAATCCAAATTTAAAAGTTTAATGATCCTCAAATAAGACACTTCTAAATCACATTAGATTTTGTGCTAAATCTTTTTACACAATAATGATCTCTCTTCATCAAATGTAATCTTCGTACAATATTATTAAATTGTTAATTAAGAGTTTATTAATTGGAGCATCAAAGCAATGACGTAATGTAAGATATTCCGTCCTTGATGCAATTGCTACCCACGTTGTGGTTTATTCTATTTTGTGTCTGCATCTATTAATTCATCTTTTTCATGTGCTGAATCTTTAGTCTCACTGTTTGCAAACATGTTTGGCTTACCTCATTGATAAGTCAAAATTACTTATAAGCAAAATAAATTTTAGATCTATTTTGATATATATAAAAAAAATAAAAAATTGCAGCAACGGTCCCTAACCTTTTCATTTTTTCCAAACTTTATCATAACCTTCATTTTGTGCTAACGAAAGCCCTCGTCCTTTCATTAATATGCACTTAAAGTCCATCTGAACAAAAATCGTCTAAGACACCGTCAGTTGACCGAAAAATTTCTTGAACTATCTACTACAGCGACGAATTATTGGATGATACATTTTTGGACGGTGTTTTGGACTGTCTTATTGGATATTGATTCCTTAATTTTTCGTGTGAACTGACAGTGTTTTGGACGGTTTACGTCCAGATGAATCTCAGGTGCATATTTATGAAAAGTTAAGAACTTCCGCTGACACAAATTGAATATTAGAGTAAAGTTTAGAAAAAATGAAAAAGTTAGGGATCACTACTGCAATTTTTAATAAAAAATTGCTCTAAATAATATTTTGATTATAATGATTGAAATTTAATATATTAATACTGACTATCTCTATATATGTAGAAGTTTGCTTATTCGTGGTCGTGCTCTTGGGAAATCAAATTGGCCACAAGATTCTAAGTAGGTCATCCAAAGGAATGTTTGGAAAGCGTAGTTGATTTTAATTAGACAGTATAAGAAGAAAAATAATTTCTTTATTTATTTTGATTATTATTCGATACTTTTTAATTCACCTTATAATTTTATTTTATTTTATTTTTTGATCGGTACCTTATAATTGTATTATTAGTGCACAAGGCATGGAGGAGAGTGAAGGTACATCAACTAAAGATGCGCGGCCCCTAAAAGATGAAAAAATTATATATATTATACTGAACTCATATATAGAAAAAAATTTAACTAAAATAATTTGTTAACACTAATAATAATAATAATAATAATAATAATGGGTTAAATGTGTTCTTGGATCTTCACGAGATGATATAAATGTTGTTGACCACCAAAAATGGCCAACAGGTGTTGTTAGGAGATAGTATGCACATGGACCTGTTTTGTGTAGTATTTCTACTTTAAAATATGTAGAAGAAGAAGAAGAAGATAGAAACAATATATTATGTTCTATTTTCTATCCAAGGATCCATTCCTTAAATGATACAAAAATTGCTTATTTATAGTAATCAAGTCGATATAGTCATCGTTAGATTGGATCTATGTGGCCTGATCTGCCGACCCCTAGCGTCACATCAACTCTATTTCGTATTAATTACATTGACACACTTTTGACAAGAGGTCAGCCACTCTACAAACCTAGACTGACTTCTCTAACAATTAATAAATGGGTATGTCGCATCAATCAATTCTGGAGACTTCTCATCTAAACCTGCCAAGAGCCTCGGATACTCTAGGAGTTCGACAGCAGAAGGTAAACCACCTCGAAAGGAAGAACAGGACCACTTAAGTTATTCTTAGTGAAATAACCTCGGTGCTCAATGTGATAACTTCGGATGTTGATCCATTCTGCATGCTTGCGATGTGTATGAATATGAGGCCTCCACGTGGGCCATTCCGCATGATCAGCAACAATACTCTCCCAAGTCTATGTATGATCATTCATGTGGTAGATAGAGTTTATAATTTCTTGATCAGTTCGTAAAGAAAAGAAATCCATGCAGTAATGCTAGTCCCCCAAGTCTAATTTGTTTAAATATTCGTGTGAGAGTTTTAGCTTTGCCAAACGTGTACGTTAATAGCTATCGGAACCGAGGCCGAGGGTCATGTGCCTTGTACATATAAGTGGCCTTTCCTTAATGTATATGGAAAGCTGAAGTAGTTAAAATGTCAACCGAAGTTGTATGCTATGTGAGATGGTTCAGGTAGTTTGAATGTTTTTCATCATTTTTTACCACATATTGCCATGCTGCCATTTAACCTTCCCAATGAGGGCGGTGCCCTCAATTTTCAACGTATTCCACGTGTTTTGATCTAGGCCGTGAAGCTGAAACGTTGGTCTCCAAATGGTCTATACGTGACCCGAATTCAGACGATGCAGATCTTTGAGATCTGACGATTAAAAATGTATGTGTTTGCCTACAA